AGTTTTTAAAATACTATTTTATACTTTCAGTATTTTTATTTCAGTGTTTCCAGTCTGTTTTTATCCGACAAACCTTTTTTCTTTCTTTTACTTGTTTTTTTGTCAACATTAATGAACTTAAATGCTTGTGAACGAACTCATGAATTTTCTAAAAGATGTCAATAAATTAAAAAAAAATCCACATGAGTTCTTTGATGTTCATGCATTGTGTGTTAAAAAATAAAYAAAGGAATATTTGAACATTTGAATCTGGAAAAGTATGACATTTCAAAATAGAAAATGGAAAAAAATATATATATATCATTGTTAGAAATGACAAAAACAGACTTTGGAAGAACATATGGTACAATTTGACACACAAACATTCTTCAAAAGAAACTGACAAAAAACTAGTTTTAATGAAAATAAAACTTAAAAATTACAATAACCTTATGCTGGACATTAGTTTATTATTTTTTTGATGTGGTTCGTGGTTCCCTGTTCATGCTGTTTTTCTCTGTTTCCATTAGATGGCGCTGTTTAATCAGTAACAGAACAGTGTCCCTTTTTTCATTTAGGAGTTTCAATCTAAAATTCTGCCCTTTTGTTGCTGTAATTTAGACGATGAATGAACCTAGATGCTGTTTTTAATAAAGAGACAAAAAAAGGTATTGGTTCCAGTTATGTGTAAATTTCACTTGTATGATGAATAGAGGCAGATTTTACTGTAGGTACTTTTTGATTTACACATTCTGCTATGGGGAATTTAGTCAGTTTTTAAATAGATTAAAACGAACAAACATAAACTCATTAAAATATCCTAAAGAAATTTATTGTGGCGTGTCAAGCAAGGACACAGATGATGCACCAATTTCAAAATACTTTGGTTTCTTRAGCCTCAACTGTTATTTTATTAACAGTGACACTGTTTATCCTTTGAAGCCCCTCGTTGAATGTTGTGAATAACTTTTTCAGACTGGTGCGGATCAGAAGAAGGATCTGAAGGAGAAACTTATCAACTCCAGTTATGGCATCAGTGGAGCCACAGTGGAAGAGCACGACTTCTACAAAGTGAGTTACTCATTTCTTRTCATTGAGACCGATGACACTGTTTATATACAGTGTTAATAAGAATGCTTTTTAGCTGTAGAGTCCAAATCGATAATTCAGYGACGCTTAGACAAAAAGACAAATTTACCAAGTTGTGCAAATAAGCATATGTTTGCAAATTATAAAAAATATATGAGGGAATATCCAATTTTGTGGAAAAGGATCTAAAACTGCCTGACCTGCCAACGCAGACACAACCAGCTCACTTTGATGGTGACCAAGAGAAGTGCAAATTAGTCAAAAGTTCCAAACAWGCAGGCTTGATAATAAATTGGCAGTGTTGAGTTCTTAAAAGACAAGCGGACTCGCATTGTTTCTTGTTACCACAATGCTTGTCATTAAAAAAAAAAAAAATCTGATTACCAACTTTGTGTTTGAGCTCTTTGGCTGAGATAAAAAAAAACGGATAATCAGTTTTACAGCAAAAAATAAAACTCTATGTTTAAAGTTTTATTAGAGCTGCAAAATATATTGCTAATATATCATCATCACCGTAACGGAAGAGTTTTGAAGTTGTATTTTTTCATACTAATGCAATATTTAGCCAGTAGGACAGAGTCTCARGGCYGCAAAAGCTCACTCCAGACACAAATAACATTGCCAAAAATGCTATAGGTCACTTAGAGTTAGGAAAGAAGACAAAAGTAATTTATCGCATCTGATATCGTCATTGCAATATTTACAAATATTGTCACCATCACAAGATTMTCTWATATTGTGCAMCTCTAATTTCTATATTCATATGATTTATCATTCAACTTTTTCAGCCCATTTTATGAGCTTTGTCCTTTAGAAGGCAGTGCTGTTTCAGATGTTTGACCATGTTCTTTGCTTGTTTGAATGCAAGCTGTATTCAATACAAGTGGCTTTACATCTAATTAGGACTTTCAGTCTTGATAATTACATTTGACTTTTCCATTTTTTTAAATTTGATAATAATATGTCATATAAATGGTTAAACCAACAAGAGCTAATCTTTAGGGGTTTTTTTATCTCTTGCTGCATTTTTTCTTATATCTAGTCATGTTGCTGCYTTGTTGCCAGTTAATATAAGTTGTGTTTATTTTCTTAATGTAACAAAATTGTCCCATATTCATCAGTAACACTTAAATCTTGTTGACTACTCAAAAGGCTTCTACACAAATCTCGTTCACCCATTGAATTTCTTGGATTTTGCAGGTTCACTYTTGTTCCCTTTAGAATTTATTACTCTTTGATCACTTTTTTTGTGTAGAAACATGTTAGATCATTATTCAGAGCTTGATAGATAGGTCACCTCAAAAACCATGTACTGTGTGAACTGATTGAAATCTGCAGTCACTTCACAAAATGAAAAAAAAAAAAAAGGCCGAGAGGTTGTCACGGACTGCTAATTGTTTCTAATTTGCATTTCATTGAGGAGAATATAAATCGGTTATCAGCAAAAGAAGTGTAAATCCTAKATTTCAAACAACAGGTTTACCTCCTAATCTCACCAGTTATTGTGCTGGGTATTATTTAATTAAGTATTTAATTTAAAATTWTTATTTGTTTGTTTAAGGTTCCATTTCAAGATGCCCTGGATTTGGTGCGAACAAGGAAAGTGTACCTCCGAAATGGCTATGCGTACATTCCTCATCATGAAATCGTCACCATTGTTCTGAATGACTTCCGCACAAGGCTGTCCAAAGCTCTCGCGGTAAGTTGTTAAAGCCTTTTTTTTTTTAAATTAAAAATGAAAAACATCTTTCAGAACTGCTTTGGTTAAAAAATAAGAGAGGGACATAATCGTAAGCACACACTGTTGTAAGCTGTAAAATATTCAACATATAATACACTTCAAAAATCACACACTGCTTTATCCTAACACTATTTCAAAAATTATAATCCCTTCAACTCTCCACCTCATTGTGTTAAGTTGTAGAAGTGTTTATTTCTGTGCATGRACTTTACTCAAGTGCATTTTATGTTGACAAAAACCCTGGTTCCATGAGGCAGATTGTTAAATTGCAGCGGTTGCCTTCAGCCCCCTGAGGGATACTGGAGAAACGCGGGGTTCAAATAAGGGGAATAAGTGTGTGTGTGCACATGACGTGAAATGTCTGCAGGGATGATTGGCGACAACTAGTAGGAAAGAGCCTATTGTCCCTGCAGGCATGATGTTTTTTAAAGCCATYGCAGGGGGGGTCCGTGAAGGCACAGTATTGAAATGCTCATGTTTTGCACTGAATAGCCCAAGGGAGGTGGAACGCAGCGTTTTTGGAACCAGAGGCTTTCCTTATTATATATGCGAGGAGACAACTGCAGTTCAGTTCTGTCTAGAGAGAAGTCCAGGCTGAGGAACTGTGTTATAAACAGCTGAAGCCAGTGGCACTGGATATTCTGAGAAAGAACTAGTTTTTTTAATTGGCTGCTTTATGGCCGAAACTTGAATAGAAAATACCCTAAATACTAACCAGTATTTCAGGAAAACTTAAAAAAAAAACACATTATTATGAATCTATTGTGATTGATATATGAATACATCTAAAAAAAAAAACTTTTTAGATTCCGATATGACAGACATTTATATTTCTAAGTGTTAGATTCATCCAGCTCATACTTGAGCTGCAAACTTTTGATGGAATTTCCTGTAGATTCAGAGTTCAGTTACTCATTATTTACAACTCATTGGGAGATTAACAATATAATATTCATACTGTTGTCAGTGTCTTTTTATGTATTGATCCATAAAACAATAAAACTCCAGTGWTGACTGTTTTATGAGCTTTGAATGCAGAAACACTGATTTATTAATGTAATTTTGAAAACCTCTGCACAAACATGCATAACATGCACTACYTTGTAGTAGTTTTGCATGAATTCCTGTAAAAAAATGTGTACAGAACAGAAGTCTATTCCTCTAGATTTTCAGAATAAAGCACCTAATAATAAGCAGTAGTGCACTATTCTAAGAGTGTAATAAGAAAAGGAAAAGCAACAAGTCAACACAAACATCACATTTATGTTTTCAGTCTGTCTTACAATTGTCAGTTTCTTTTGTTTTTGCATGAAAAGTGCCTTGACAGTGCAAACAAAGATGCATGTTTTGTTCAGCGGTAGTATTATCTTGTCTTCTCCTTGTATTTAATGGAGGAGTCGCAATTAATCAGCGTTATTTTGTGTAATGCCTGTGTTCCTGTCAAACACTGGGCTCCACTCATCCAGTGATCTAAAATGCTTCTTGGTGAATTTTAACAACAATTTAAATCTCACTTCTGGCAATTTGAAATGTGTGATTACTAGAATTATAAAATCGTGATTTTCAGAGGGTTGTTCATATGTACCGTCTAATCTTAGTGTGGCTGCAGTGTAGTGTAAAACCTTCATCAGTTGTGATTGGGCTCTTTTTTGTTTGAAAATGGAAAAAGACATGCTTGACATTTAGTTTTTCTAAAAAAAATAGACTGGCTGTTGAATTCATCCTTGGCTTCAGTCTTAATTTGACACACTTTTTGTGCGGTGGTCTAATTGCGTCTGTGTTAATGCTGCCAACGTGAGTTCCTGACTGGCTTTGGTCTGAATGRGTGTCCTCCAACATGAGGCGAGCAGAGCCAGCATTTACCAATGAGAGGAGACATCAAAACAAAAATAAAAAAAASAGCTATTTGGTTCTGTTTTTTTCATTCTTCCATTTCCAAGTAATTATCTGGACTACCAACTGTCGGAATTGCTTTGAGTTTTTCCAAAACAGTTTTTTTTTTTTTTTGTTGAAAGTAAGTCATTGTGTTTCTATAATGGTTATTTTCCTTTTTGTCAAATACAATAAGTGGACTTCTAAAATAAATACATAACTTAAAAACTAAATAAGTGAAGGAGCACTTTCCCCAGATGGGTCAGGTTAGATTTTGAGTATTATTTGTGTATTTTCACAGGGTGAACTCAAAAGAGAAACTCAATTTTTGAAGGCATGCYCATTTATTTTGAAGTGTAGTTTGTGTTCAGACCAGGGCAACATTTGAAAAGCCGAGCTGAAAACATAACATGGGTTATAAAATATTACCTGGCAGTTGCTTTATGTACTACAGATGTTTTAGGATGGCACCAGTGCTAGTTTTATGTGCATTAACTCGTTAAAAGTTTTCACACACCGAGTTAACAATCTGCTTCCTTCCTCTGCCAACAAATATTCAATAGGATTATCACTGTAAATGTTCTTTAAAAAAAAAATGGGACGGGTAATACTCTCATCTAATGCAGCTTGGGCAGTATTGTTTTGTTAGAGAGAAAACGGTTCAAACTACAGTCAGTTTATTTTATTAAAYTTAGTAATTGCCCCTAGGTGAAAAGTTTCTAATCTGTTTACATTGCAAAAACTATCCATCTTACCAAGTTTTAAAATCTTATATTCAGCCAAAAAGTCTTTTTGATCTTGTTTTGAGACTGATTTACTAAACAAGAACTGATTGTGTAAGAATAATAATCTTGTTTTCAGAATGTGTAAGATTATTTGTCTTGTTAGTCTGAAATGGTAAATGGTCAATTAAGCAAAAATTTCTGCCAATGGAGTAAGAAAGTTTTACTTGGTAAGATTCTTGAAATAAAAGAAATTCAGTCAAATCAAGTATTTCAAGAATCTTACCAAGTAAAAATTTCTTACTCCATTGGCAGAAATTTTTTACTTAATTGACCATTTACCATTTCAGACTAACAAGACAAATAATCTCACACATTCTGAAAACAAGATTATTATTCTTACACAATCAGTTCTTGTTTAGTAAATCAGTCTCAAGATCAAAAAGACTTTTTGGCAGGATATAAGATTWTAAAACTTGGTTAGGTGGACATTTTTTGCAGTGTAAACGTAGTTGCCATAAAGACGTTTAAGATGTAATTAAAATAATCTGTTTACCAGTCTTAAGTGCACAAACTTGTAAGTAGTTTGGTTGCACTGACCTGTAATGCCAGGCTGTCCTTTGACCAAGACTTTATGCCATTACTCATGCAATGCCCATCTTTTCTGCAGCTGACAGCCCGCTTGCTACCAGTAGTGCAATCTGATGAACGTCTTCAGCCYCTCCTCAACCATCTCAGGTGAGCAGCAGGAGGGATTACTTCGCTGCCTTTGGRACCAAGAAACATTGAAGTCTGGAGGCTGTTATGAATAAACCCACCCAATCTTTAACGATTTTGTTTACTGTGTAGCCCAGTTAGGTATTGCCTCTTCAGATTTCATTGCAGCCTTTATTTTATTTTTTTTTTATCGCCGTCTTCAGAGTCATGTCGTAAACTTTATTCATGTTTAACATTTGATCAGTTTTATTGGCAATTCCCCAGCTTCATCTAAAACGGCATTATTCACAGAAAACTGCTCTTATTGTCTGAGTCTTGATGTTTTCATATCTTCTTTCAGTCATGCATATGTGGGACAGGATTACGGCATCCAGAAGAACGTAGGGAAAGTCTCCTTGGAGCAGATCGATTCGGTAAGTTACACTGGTGGAAATGTAAACCTCAAAGCTATTTTTTWAAAATMTTTATTTTGATGTGGCAGCCAAAATGTGATGTAATCAAAGGTGGTTTGATGAAATATTGATGTTAACCTTTTTTTTGCCCTCTAATTATGGTTTAGCTTGTAGTTCATAGAATAAACATAATTACTTACTGGTACAAATACTTATTTTTTGTAATTATTTTTATGCTGGTCATTAACACGCTAGTGTTTGTAGCTTTCAGGAACGTCCTTCCCGCTCTGTATGAGGCAGCTGCATCAGTCTCTCAGAGAAAACCACCACCTCCGCCATGGTGGCAGGATGCAGTACGGTCTGTTCCTCAAAGGTATCGGCCTCACTCTGGAGCAGGCGCTGCAGTTCTGGAGGATGGAGTTCACAAAGGGCAAAGTGGACGCCGACAGGGTAATGCTACTTAATCACATATTCTGTCTATCTTTTTCTAACTTATGTAAGAGAATAACTCAAATTTTGGTCTCCTGGCTTTTTTTATTTTATTGAACTGCTCTTTCATTTATGATGACGTTATCCAATCAAAGCTGTAGAGTCGAGAATAAAGTTCACTTGTGTTTTTATGTGTTCCCATATGTGAGTCTAATAAAGCTGAGGTGGGCGTAGTAAAAAATAGCAACACAGTAAATACAATTGACGTAGCTCTGTATAAATAAAAATTTCTACAAGACGTCAGTGAGTCAAAGTGAAGAAACGGTCTTAGCAGAAATGAATCACATCATTTGGTTCTTGCACTGCTTTAGATATAATATTAAATATTAAAAACCTGGTCTATTTCTGTAAAAAAAACAACCTTTCTGACTTGATTGTGTCGTTAGCGTTTCAAGCATCAAGTACAGCATTAATTTCCTCAGTGAAGTTATTCCATTCTTACAGATGTGTGTGYCTGAGTTTGTCTCACGTACATGGATTTGGTCTTACAAATATCAARTTATTTCCTTACTGACTTTGAAGAAAAGTACTATCTCTTAAATGGGTAATTGCTTAGATTGTATAGATTTTTCTTTGACAAACATGTTTGTACACTAAACACTATTGGACCAACTGTATGCTTCGTCTTGCCAGACCCGTTTTTGTGTTGAGATACATTGTTGATGAGATTTTACCCAAAATTAGTTTACTTTTTTTTGGGCCGTAAAACAAAAGCTAAATATTCACTCAGTCGCTTAAGTACATGCACAGGAGTGAGCAGACTAACATTTGTTGGGTTTTGGTTACGGTTTTGGAGATGTCTCATCTAGTTGGATGCTTGTGATTGGATCAGAGTCCCGATCAAGGTGTGTTTTGATAGACTGGGGGTCACCTAGTGCAGTCAGCTCGTGTTGTTTGGTGTCAGCTGAGCTGTATTGTGGCTGCTTTAAAGATTTGTGGCAGTACATGTTGGTACAGAGGTGATTGTGTCAATCTGTTGTGTGGACATATTTTAAAAACAGCTGTTTATAACCTCTGCAATATGTGCTTTTTTATGATTTAAAGTGTTTGTCTTCATACAACAATCTTAATTAGTGTAAAGGTTTTTTACACCATCTAAGTCAGGATAAGCCATAAACAGATTTCCAACACCTGAGCTTTGAACAAGATAAATAAATAAAAAGTTTGATACCATTTTCCTCTGACTAGAATTGCATTTATCACAGAATTTTGGATGCTGTCACTGGTTGGCTTTACTGCTCATTAGATCGATTTGTCATTGGATCAAAATRGTGCACCGATGCACGCCCAGCGGTTTGATGAATCTCAAGCAGCCGAGCTCGTAAAGCAGAAAAGAAGTTACTAAACACACGGGAAGTAAGATGAGCAGCATGTCCTCACCATCCTGCATGACTCAGAAAATATGAAATAGTGATGGATGATTGTATTGCACTGCATGGGACTGCTGGGATTCCTGTCTGAGGTCTAAACAACAACACTGTTTTTTTTATGATGTTTTTATTTCTGAACATGCAGTTTGAATCTTTGCAGGAATATATAGTATATATGCAGGAAAATGCATATATAGGGTTGATATCAACAGACAATAAATTACATTTAATGGCGTTACTACTGTCACTTTTTGTTAGATTTTACAATAAATTTAATGTCCAATACCAACATCCAACCAACCTGTCCTGGTCTGTCCATATTTTTATTTCAATCCAAAATGAAAGCAGATCAGCTGCCACCAGCAGATTTTCTTTATTACTTTATTTACAATCATTCAGCATCTGCAGGGTTTAAATATTCCTCAACATCTTCTGAAAGAGAATATTTTAGGCAGAACATGACACAGTTGTGGTTTATGTTTAAAGTAGTGGTGCACCAATTGCAGGTTTTTGGCCAATCACCAGTCTTTAAAAAGCCTGACCTGCTGATTCTGATTTGGTCCAATACAGATTTTTTTTTTCATAACGAACACTGTGAGGTTGCAATAAGATCACAATACACCTTCAATGTTTCATTCTTATTTTATTGAAAAAATTGAACGATACCTTTTGAAACAATACAAACTTGCTTTAACTGGACAACAGGASACAGTAGGTGATTTTCAGACCTTTGTTAAGGTAGATACGATGAGTGGATAAGAAGTATTGGCCAATCACCCAAATTMAAGGAAAGTTTTGAAGAAGATAATATTTCTGAGGAACCTTGAGTTCACTTTTCCCTGGTTTAGGCAAGTCTAGCATAAAATGACGTGGCTTGTTATAAACAAGAAAACTCCTGTTATTAAATTCAACAAAGTCTTTACATATTACTGTAGTAGACYATCATAAAAATGTAGGACAATGACTTGGCAGTTAAAAAATTTGGCACTTTTTGAATTCATGGCATGTTTCAATGGTTTTCACGTGTCAGATTTGTATTTGCAAATGTTCTGAGGCAGATGTGAGTGATTTTACAGCATTACGCCATTTTCAAATAACGAGAACACTGAGTGGAGAAAACAGCTGTAGTTGAATTCAGACAATAAAAGCAACAACAAAAGAAGGCTTTTATGTCAGACACTAAAAAGTTGTTTTGAAAATGTGTGAAATTCACTCAACAGCCACTAATTATTACTATGTCCAAATTGTTACTTAGCATTTTTGATTAACTACAGYCACAGTAAATGCTTGTGTATAAAACAAAACCCAGAAATCYCAAGGTGTCTTGACTAATCACACACAAAAAGGAAAACAAAAGCAAGCCGGCTAAGTCGTGTAGCTTTTTGAAAATCGTTTTGTTCAGCGGCAAAATATGTTTTGAAACGGAATAGACCTTTTTAGGTTGACACTTKCCCTCACTCCCTAAAGGTTTAATTAATTCAGTAGGAGTATTTTTGTACCGACATTTAAAACGTTCCAAGCAGCACAAAGAATTCAAAAGATCTTTTTGTCGCTGTTATACGAGCACAATAACTGTCACTAATATTAAAGGGAAAAAAGGCACAAGTGTGCAATAAAGAGTATGAATTATGCAAAGAGTAATAAAGCAGTACCCCATATATTGTGCGCTTTGTAGAATTTCTTGTTTTTTTATTTATTTTTTAATCACTGCAACCTTCTTCGGTGCCCTGTTTCTGAGGTGTCTTACTTTCKCTGGACAGAGTGTGATGGCTTTCTGGAAAAAAAAAAGCCCTCCTTTTGTTCTACAGCAGAGGCATCAGAATGGTGCTGACCAGCTCGCAGCTTTCACGCTGATGTATGTGTTGTGTCAGGGACTGCACTTTGTGGCATGCTGCACAAAGCCGGCTCATTAGTATGCGACAGGCACACAGGAGGAAGATGAGAGGCAGCGATGCCGAAAGGGAGGCCCGAAGGAAGAGGCAGTGTAATATTAGACTAGAGGGAGTGAAAATTGATGAAATTAACTTGATCTATTCATTCTTCTTYCCACAGAAGTTAGCCTATTCATTTGGAGAAGTGTCTGTTTGTGCCACATCATTGTAGTGTGTTGTTGCCCTGGGCTAGGACTGCTGTTAAACTACTTGTTTTACAGATGTTAACTTTAACGTGTCTCTTGAAGAAAAGTTAGCAATGCCCGTTATTTTTCTCTTCACTTTTAAAGGACGTCTTATCACTCCTTTACCACTACCGTACACAAAAGAATTATCATTAACAACAAAACTTAGACCTCAGCTGCACTGTTCCAGATATTTATTTACACCAAAAGTTTTCTTCCCGTTAAGAAAAGAAAATGCGACCCGACAAGAAAACTGTGATTCCAAATAATTCCCCTGCTGACCCATGCTGAGCCAGTAATGACAACAACTACTGTCAAGTAATGACAGGTCAGAATACAAAGGCAGAAGATCCAGAGCCTAGTTAGCAGTTCTGCCCAAACAACRACTGCATTTTTTTTCCTTATTTGACATTTTTCACCTTTTCGTCTCAGTAAATGGTCTTTTCAGCACATGAATGAAGTTTATTGGTGACAAGGTCAGTACAAATTTTGTTAGACGTCAAAAAAAAATGGTTTTGGTGTTGGGCTATCAAGGGCATGCTCGGTACAAAAAGCAATAGTGGGTAAGCCCAAAGTAGGTTGTTATTGTCACGTACACACACACACACACACAACACACACAAAAAGCACTGTAAAGCATTTGTAAAAGAAATTCTCAACAAAAAGATGACATTTTTATTTAGAAAACGAGTGAAAATGTAGCAGAATAGAATGTTTGCTAAATATTCACAATATTCGTTTATATATATATATA